CGCAGCCGACCCTTGCGCCTCCCGCCTGGAGCCTCTGCTGGCCCCCAAGTTCCAGGCCATTGCCCCCCTGGCTGTGCCCCGCTACCAGAAGTTCCCCTTGGGAGATGGTTCTTCCCTCCTTCTGGGTATGCTCTAGTCACGATAAAAGACACCAACAGGGAAGGAGGAGGTAGTAGAAGACATGGGTAGTTCTCACATCGTGACAGTCTCTCCTTCACCACTCCCAAGACCAAGGAGCCATCCCCTATCCCCTTGGGAGGGTCTCAATCCCCAGGACTTTCTGTGCCAAGTTGGGGGGCAGTGGCAGTAACTAACCTAAAGAGGAATCCGAGGGGCGCTAGCACATGGGTGTCTGAGAGCAGCCAGCCTTTATGTGGCTACTGCATCCGTGTGTAGCAGTGTGTGGTGGCTCCGTGCACACTTGAGCACATGGCATGGACAGGCCTTCATGCAAATGAGCCCCCACTGGCCTCATGAGACAAATGTCACAGGCATTCTGGCAGGAATGTGGCTAGCTACTTGGTAAGCTAGGTGGAAATGATACCCCCTACACACACACACACACACACACACACACACACCCACCCACCCCCTTCTACCCAGATGCAGGACAGTGCAGCCTCAGCCAAGACCCACAATTGGCAGAAGAGCTGTTGGAGGGGGAGGGGCTCTGCTGTTCCGGGCCCCTGGGTGAGAAGACAGGAGGGCAGGCTGGCCCAGCCTGCTGCTGAGGGTACCCTCTTCCCCCAGCTGACACTCTGCAGACCCATTCAGGCCTCTTTCTAGAAGAGCTGGAGATGATGGTGCCCTCCACACCCACCTCGGCCAGTGGTGCCTTCTGGAAGGGCAGTGAGTTAGGCACAGAGTCGTCAGCCCAGCCGGCAGCCCCCAGCACCACCAGCGAGGTGGTTAAGAGTGAGTCAGCCAGCGACTTGCACGGGCAGTCCAGTATGTGGTGGGGGTGGGGTGGGGTATTCCATAAAGAAACCTTTTGCCCAGTATTTGCACTGGACCCCTCCCCCATCACCCTCTGGACAAGACAAAGATCAGGCCTGGTGGAAAGGAGGGAGGGAAGAGCACCCCTGGGCGGAGCAGACGGCACAGGACAGTAGGCCACCCTGACTGCCTCCTGTGGTCGTGCAGTCCTGGAGCGCTGGTGGGGGACCAAGCGGATCGACTACTCGCTGTATTGTCCTGAGGCGCTCACCGCCTTTCCCACGGTCACGCTGCCCCACCTCTTCCACGCCAGCTACTGGGAGTCAGCAGATGTGGTGGCCTTTATCCTGCGCCAAGTGAGTGGCCTCCCGGAGATGGGGACTGGGCAGTGGGAAGAGGAGATGTGGTGTCTTGCACTAGGGGGACAGCTAGCCCTCCCCCTACACGGTTCAAGTGGCCTAGTCTGTATCCCACGCAGGTGATAGAGAAAGAGCGGCCGCAGGTGGCTGAGTACGAGGAGCCGTCCATCTACAGCCCGGCCTTCCCCAGGGAGAAGTGGCAGCGCAAACGCACACAGGTCAAGATCCGGGTACGTACCCTACCCCCGCACCCCTCGGAAGCAAGCCGCTGCGGGGTCCCCAGCATCCTGCCATGCCGGGCCCGACCGCGGACCAGACTTTCCCAGCCCCACCCGGGCCTCTACAGTCCTGGTCCCACCTCTCTCCCAGTAGTGCCCCACCCGTTTGCCTTGGCCCTGCCCCTGGGAACCGGTGGTCTCCGCCTTGCCACCGCTGCCGAGGAAGTTGGGCTGGATTCATGTTCACCCCAACCTGGCTCATGTCTGCCGCCCTCCTGTCACAGATCCAATCAGAGGCAGACGAGCCTGCACCTCCCGCCTCTTACTTGCAGCAGTACTGGCTCCGCCCCCAGTGTGGAGATGGTTCCCCCACCCTGCACCCCTCACCCCCAAACAACCCCATCCTTTCCCAGTGAGGGACGCATAAGGCTCATATTGTCTCCTCCTGCCAGAATGTCACTTCCAACCACCGGGCCAGCGACACTGTGGTGTGCGAGGGCCGTCCCCAGGTGCTGAATGGACGCTTCATGTACGGGCCCTTGGATGTGGTCACGCTCACTGGAGAGAAGGTCAGGACCCAGAAACCCTGGCCCCTAGTATCTTGGGCCTTGCCTTCTGTCCCAGAACAGCTTCTGATATGCAGAAGTTGAGCCCCTAGCAGTGCCCACTTCTGAAGACAGGCTAGCCTCTGCCCACCTCCATGAGTGATGGGGCATGGGGGGTGGAAACTGCATCCCCAAGGACCTTCCCACCCCCTCTCTCTGCCAGGTGGATGTATACGTAATGACACAGCCGCTCTCAGGCAAGTGGATCCACTTTGGCACCGAAGTCACCAATAGCTCGGGCCGCCTCACCTTCCCAGTGCCCTCAGAGCGTGCGCTGGGCATCGGCGTCTACCCGGTGCGCATGGTGGTCAGGTGAGCGCAGGCAGGCCAGGCCTCTGTGGGACGATGCTTCGTCTGGCCACGCCCCACTCTTGCTCACCCTCATGCCTCCTGGGCCACAGGGGCGACCACACGTACGCAGAGTGCTGCCTGACGGTGGTGGCCCGTGGCACAGAGGCCGTGGTCTTCAGCATTGACGGCTCCTTCACTGCCAGTGTCTCCATCATGGGCAGCGACCCGAAGGTGCGCGCTGGTGCCGTGGATGTGGTCAGGTAGGCACTGCTGCCCTGCACCCTGTTTGCAGTGATGACCGGCCCCCACCGCGGCCACCGAGCTGACTAACTCCCTCCGCGCAGGCACTGGCAGGATGCAGGCTACCTGATCGTGTATGTAACAGGCCGGCCCGACATGCAGAAGCACCGCGTGGTGGCCTGGCTGTCGCAGCACAACTTCCCTCACGGAGTCGTCTCCTTCTGCGACGGCCTCACTCACGACCCTCTGCGACAGAAGGCGATGTTTCTCCAGAGCCTGATGCAGGAGGTGCGGCTGGGGAGGGTCCTGCCCCATCCTTGCCTCAGAGAAGATAGCGGAATCACATCTGGTCCCACCCCATTGCCCCCTGGCTGTATACCTGGGCCATGGGACCTGTCCTTGTGGGCCAACTAGGGAGATCCGGTGGATCCTGCCCTGGTGGGTGTGACTAGTACTGTGTGACCCCGCCTCCACCCAGCTAGCCCTGCCTCCAAAACCTAACTAGGGATACCCACAAGCCCCACCCCATTCGTATGGCCCCACCCCAGCGGCATGGCCCCACCCCCTCAGGACTTTTAACTGGCTCTTCTCATCACAGGTGGAACTGAACATCGTGGCTGGGTATGGCTCCCCAAAAGATGTGGGTGTATATGCAGCTCTGGGCCTGTCCCCCAGCCAGACCTACATTGTGGGCCGCGCTGTGCGGAAGCTACAGGCACAATGCCAGGTGAGGGCCAACGGATGACTGGGACACTGCCAGGGAACAGGAGCCTGAGGCTAAGGCCTCAGGACCACCTACTGTTTGGACTGAGGAGGGGGCAGTTGTGAGAAGGCCTCACTAGCCTCAGGGAACCTGGGCTCCGTCTAGGGCAGGGGCTATGGGTAACGAGGACTGCCTGGCATCTAGGCAGACTAGGGACAATGATCCAGGCTGGAGCACGCCAAGACCTCACATGCTGGATCCCCTCACCATGGCCTTGAGCGTGGGCCTTGACCTTTCTGATCCTCTGGATCCTGTCTATAAACTGGAAATGATATTGGCACTGACCTCATCAGTTCATCACAAAGATCAAACTCTCTATGGCACATCAGCAGGCTTGGGACTGGGTACAAGTGAGTGCTTGCTCCATGTTAGCTGCTATTTTCAAGATTCCCCCTTACAGATGAGGCAGGCCCAGGGAGGGCCAAGGTGCCCTGGCTCACTGCTAGGGGATCCCCTCTATTGGGAGAAGGCTCCAGGTCAGGCTGACCTGGACCAGCCATTTGCTGGCATTGCCCTGCTCCCCTCACCCACCACAGGAATAAGGGAAGGGGAGAGTGGGGGCCCCAGCTGGCCATCTTCATTTCCCTGCTCATTTCCATTCACAGTTCCTATCAGACGGCTACGTGGCACACCTGGGCCAGCTGGAGGCGGGTTCCCACTCTCACGCCTCCCCAGGACCCCCAAGGGCTGCCCTGGCCAAGAGCAGCTATGGCGTAGCTGCCCCTGTGGACTTCCTCCGCAAGCAGAGCCAGTTGCTTCGCTCCCGGGGCCCCAGCCAGGCAGAGCGAGAGGGTCCCGGAACACCACCCACCACCCTGGCACGGGGCAAAGCCCGAAGCATCAGCCTCAAGTTGGACAGCGAAGAGTGAGCCCCAGATGTGGCTGGACCAGAGTTATTTATTGACACTCAAGAAGCCTAAGTAGCTGCGGGTGGGAGGCTGGGTACCTGGATCTTTGGCCCACACCTGCATCCATCTGCCCCTCAGTGTTACTTTCCTTTTATGGGGGACCCAGCCCCAGGGGAAGGGAAGAGGGTGTGGGCAAGGACCCAGCAGCTTTTCCACTGTGTGTAAACCCATGAAAATAAACACCTGCATCCTGTTGACTGCCCATTCACCTGGCTGCACAAGGCAGGTGGGCCCAGCTTCTAGTAAAGTGCAGAAAGGGGACAGGACCTGCCCAGGGTCATGAGGCAAGGCTACAGGGTGCCCTGGCCTCTGCTCTTCTCAGACAGTCAACCCAGCCCTCACTGACCCTCACCTCAGCCTGTGTTCGAGTCTGCAGTTTCTACCTGGCTTCTCTTTTTACTCTACCTCCTCCAAAGGAAATCTGTTTTCAGAAGCTGAGACCAAGGGACCAACGGCTTGAAATGGAGTGATATACTGGAGACCACCTCACTTTATCTCTCCCTTAAGACTGAAAGCTCCTAGGGTTTCCCAGCCCCCAGCAGTGAGAACTACTTTCCCATTTCTCTGTCAGGGACACTGAGGCCCAGAGCTCTCAAAACTGACTGGCAGTGTGCTAGGATAAGAACACTAATCCTTTGCCTCCCCAGCCACCCAAGTAAATGGCAAGTGACGACCAGCGCTCTCAATGAATGGGCTCAGCAGACCCAGAGAGAGATAAATAAGCCCTTTATATACAGAGAAGCAAGATGTGGCGGTGGCAGCATGGTTGGCAGCACAGCAGTGGGTTAGCGCTGAGGGCTGGGCTGAGGCCATCAGTGAGAAAAGATGCCCCGAAAGCGTGCCTTCTCCTCCTCGTCCTTTTGCCGGATCCGCGCCTCCAAGGCCCGCAGCTCACGGTTCACGACGGGCTCCAGAGCAGGGTCCAACTCCAGCACCTTGGCAAAGTCTGCCTGGGCCTCCTGGGCGTTCCACACAGCTGCATGGGCCTTGCCCCGCTTGAAGTAGGCCTTGACGTTGTCTGTGGAACACCACCAGGCAGCAGGCACACAAGGGCATGAAGAGGGGCCAGCTAGCTGCCTGGAAGCTAAGGAGGCCCAACCACCCTGTCCCACTATGCCACTCCTACTGCGTGGGTGCAGGGATCTGGGGAACTCAGAATGGGGCTGTCAAAGCCTAGCGGCCCAGTGTCCAACTGCAGCCTGGTGCCCAGTGCTCACCGTCATACTTGTTGAGAATGGAGGAACAGTGGTCCAGGACTTCGTAGTACTCCTCAGCCACTAGCTTGCATTGGCAGTAGTTGAGCAACAGGGGCGTGATCTGTTGGTCCAGCTCTATCCAGTCAGGGGACCCAGGCTGCTCCTGTGGGTGTGGGGACAGGGACAGAGATAGCCACTGAGCCCTGGGCCCCTGGCTCTGCCTCATCACCTTCCATCCACTCACCAAGGCCCCCCGCTCACCTTCATCTGCAGGTTCTTGAGGCAGGCGATGGCATCGTAGTACTTGGAGGCCGCCTCCTTCACATGCCCCTCGCGGTACAAACGGTTGCCCTCCTGGTGGATGAGTGGCACTGCCTTTGCCTTCTCATCGTCCGTCATTGCCCATGGGTCCTGCTGGTATGTGCCAGGGCTCTCCACCTGCCAGGACATGAGCCAAATTAAGGCAGAACCCAGAAGCACCCAGAGGTCCCCAGCTGCAGACTCGATCAGCACCTGGGGTGGCTGGGCCTCCAGACATCAGATGCCAGAAGCCGTCGCTTTCCGGGGCCATGTATTGGCCACGCAACACATGTTCACACAGCAGCCCTGTGCCCAGCACTGCACCAAGTACAAAGAACAGAACAGTGAGCAAGACCGTGAAGATCTCTGGCTGGGATTCTGTTCCACAGCAAGATTTCTCAGGCAAATGCGGAAGTATGTGAACTACTGCCTTCAAAGCCCAGGAAGGAAATGGTTAGCTCAAGGCTAGAGAAGAAAGGAAGCAGGGCACGCAGGAGGTAGTGACCTTCAGGGCCTGAGGAAAGAGTAGGGGGCCCCCACAACGTTCTTGTCCCTACCCTGCCCCCCACAATATCCCAAGCACTGGCCCCACCACCCTGGAGGAAAAGCAGGCCGGAGTCGCCCTGAGACAACACAGCTGGCCTAGGAGGTTCGGACTCACCTTCAGCATCTCCATGTGAAAGATGAGAGGCTGGGGGTTCTGCTGCAGGGCGTCCAGGTCGGCGTGACCCAGGGAGCTGTGCTCGTGCATCTGGGCAATGCCACAGCAGTGTCGCTGGCCCTCCAGGGGGTCCTTGCCTGCGGCAATGTTTCGGAGACTCTTGGCCACCAGCGGATAGAGGACCACGTGCTGCAGGTGGGTGATGGACACAGTGGCTCTGTCGGCCCAGCCCCCTCCCCATCACTATCTAACAAGTGGCCCTGGCCAGCGCCCCATTCAAACCCCAGAGGGCTGTTCCTTCCAGGCATTGCTAGCCTCTCAGCCCTCATTCCTGGTGAAGTCTTCAGCCCCGTCGCACTCTGGCCATCAAACCTGACACTGCTCCACCGACACACAGCCCAACATTCCACCTGTCTCCCCATCCTCCCAGGGCACTTCTTGCCGCCGCCTCCTCTCCCTCCCACAAGCTGGACTCCTCACCAAGGTCTGCCCCGGTTCCTCCCCATACCAACCCAAGTCAGGGCCCATACCAGATCTGGGCCCAGGGCAGCCACTGCAACACCCCAAAAGATATGGGTAAAGGGGACCTAGCCTTAACTTTTCACTTGGAGAGGCTGCAGGGACAGTTGAAATCAGTCTGAGAGTGGCCCAACTGCCCTCTGCTGTCAGCAGGGGCAGACTGCTGGGCTAAAGTTCACACAGGCATTTCCTGAGCCCAGGCTCTGGGCTGACTTCCATCTTCAGTTAAAAGGCAAACAGGAGCCGGGCATGGTGGCGCACGCCTATATTCCCAGCACTAGGGAAGCTGAGGCAAAAGGATTGCTGTAAATCTGAGGCCAGCCTGGGCTACAAAGTGAGTTCAAGGCCACTCTGAACTGCATAGCATAACCCTGTCTCAAAAAAGACAATAACAACAAAAAAGGAGGTAAATGGGCCCAAGCATGGTGGGGCATGCTTGCAGTCCAGCACTCAGGAGGCTGAGGCATTAGGATCTCTGTGAATGAACTACATAGTGAGACCCCATCTCAAAAAGAGAGAGAGAGAAGTAAACAGCCCAGAGGCCTAAACTATATAGCTTAGGACTAGGGAGCAGACGACCAGATTTTGTCTGTGCAGTACATAAAGGCTAGAGGACCCAGAGGAGGGATGAAGCCAAACACCCACAGGAGGGATGAAGTCAAGAAGGGCTTCCTGGGGGTGGTAACCCAGGCATTGGCTTTGAAGTACGGGGAGAGCCTTGGCCATGGTGAAGGGTTGATATGGAAGGGACAACACCAGGGGCCATGAGAGCAGCCACACTTACACTCTATCCTGTGATGAGTAGGAGCCACGGAGGTCTGTGTTTAAGAACAAGTCCCCTGGCTCATGGACAGGAGAAGGGGGGAATAGAGGCCAAGAGACCAGTCAGAGACTGGCATGATGGCCCAGAGGGAGCTGGTGGTGGGCAAGGCAGCGTGGGGGCCCTGGGAACGTGGATCGGATCCTGCGGACAAGTACAGGACGGGTACCTTGGTGTCACAGAGGAACTGGGCGACCTCCCCCTCGCGCATGGTGCACACGATGGTCTCCCACACGGGCAGCTTGAACTTCTTGCCGATGATAAGCTCCATGGGCTTGCCCCGCGCCCGGCTGTCATCCAGCACAGTGTCCTCGTTATCGCTGTGCAGCGTCCGGTAGTGGAACGTGGCCTGTGGGCCACACAGAGATTAGTAGGCAAGGCACAGACCATCAGCTGACCCAAGGACAAGTCCACCCCCAGCCTGCACATGGCATGAGGGATGGCACTCACCCACAGTTCCCCTGACCCTACACCTGCCTTTACTCCCACCCCAGTGAGAAAGCTAAGGCACAGAAAGAAAAGTAAGGGGTCAAGTCACCTGGCCAGGTGGTGGCTATGTTGTAAGGAGAGCCTGGGCATTCCAGTTCCAGTCATGCCTTCCACAGGTATTTCCTGAGCACCTACTATGTGCCCCAGTGATAGGCCAGACACCAGTACACAGCAATAAACAAGAAAGACAAAAGCCCCAAGCCAGGAGTGGTGGTGCACACTTGTAATCCCAGCACTCAGGAGGCTAAAGCAAGAGGACCACTGAGGGTTTGAGGCCAGCCTGGGCTACACAGTGAAACCCTGTGTCAAAAAAACAAAACAAAAACAAAAAACAGGTGCAAAGTCTTGCAGTGGAGCAGTGTGAGGTACGTTCCAAGGCACAAGGCCACTGAAGTGGGGAAGGGTGCGCAAGGTGAGGGACACCAAGGGGTCCAAGGTCAGCAGGGGTGGACTCCATGTGGTCTGTAGTTACTGGTTTTTTGGTTTTTGGTTTTCACTCTGGGATGGAAACCATTGGATGGCTCCACGCAGAAAAGAACTGGAATGAGAAGAATTTGTAGGAGGCAAAGACCGAGCCAGGGAGGAGAGTGAGGGGACCAACAACTTGGCCTGGACCACAATGAACTAGAGAAGTCGCCGATGGATGCCACAGGGGAACTCCGACAGAAAGGAGGCCACTGCAGATCCAGCTTAAGGGAGGGGTAAAAGACTAGAGATCTGCATGCACATGTGAGAGTAAACCCAGCAGGGAGCCTTTCTAAAGGGAGGAGATCATCTCAAAGTGAGTGGAAGAGCCAGGCATGGTGGTGCACACCTATAATCCCAGCAGCACGCAGGAGGCTGAGGCAGGAGGATCGCTGTGAGTTTGAGACCAGCCTGGGCTACAAAGTGAGCTCAATGCCAGCCTGAACTGCATAGCAAGACCCTGTTTCAAAAAGACAAAAATAAAAAATAAAAAAGGAGTGTGGAGAGAAGCAGGTTGAAGACTAAACCTGAAACAGGATATGGTTAGAGGAGCCCACACTCTCAACTGCGGCACCCATACCATGCTGCTCCTGAGTTTGGTTTGTGTATCAGTAAAACTGAATCAACAACCATACCTGTCTTGCTTTCTGGGACATAAAGGAAATAAGCTTGTGAGGCACAAAGCACAACGCTCACAGGCTGAGAACCCAGTCAATGCTGGCAACTGGTTTGTTGCTTTTTTTTGTATTGTTTGGTGCTGGGGATCAAACCTAAGGCCTTTAAAATACTGGGAAAATGCTTTACCACTGAGCTACACTCCCAGCCCTGGCAACTGTTTTATTAATACTACCTGCTTCTGTTCTTTGTGTGCCGTTACTTATAGATCTCTACCCTTAGGTTCTCTCCTTCTGGTTCTGTTCCATCCAGAATTCACCTTGCCATGCCCTTCTGCCAAACCTATAGGTACAAGCAACCCACCACACACTCTCTCTTCTTGGAGATCTGTTTATGTTTTTCACAGCACTGAGGACTTGACCCCAAGGCACTGCACACACTAGATAAGCACTCTACCACTCAGCTGCATCCCAAAGCCCTTTTCTTTTCTTTTCTTTTTTTTTTTTTTTTTTTTTTTTTTTTTTTTTTTGTTTTTTTTGAGACAGGATTTCACTATACAACCCAGGGTGGTCTTGAACTCACTTTGTATCTGAGGCTGGCCTCAAACTCACAGAGATCTTTCTGCCTCAGCCTCCCCAGTACTGAGATTACAGGCCTGCACCACCATATCCAGCTATTTTTAACTTTCTGAGACAGGATCTCACTAAATTGCCCAACCTAACCTGGAACTAGGGATACTTCCATCTCTGCTTCTTGAGTAGGTGGGATTACAGGTGTGGGCCACCATGGACAGCAAGAAGATCCCTCTTAACACGGCTGATCACTACAGCTACACTGCTCCCCTCTGCTCTTACGGCACTCATGCTGCACCAGGCCAGGATCTACCTGCGTGACCCAGCGCGCTGCTGGCCAGGAAGCATACACTCATTCAGGGGAGGTTTTACTTTTGGCTTCCTTGGTACCAGTCAAGATTTTTACTCACGCCCTTGATCTGCATGGGTGTCCTATGTGACTGCTCTCCTGGACACGGAGCTGCTCCTAGAAGCTCCCTACTCTACAGAATGGCACTCCGGGTAAGAACTGCAGGCGTAGAAGCAGTAAAGTTTGTCTCGGGGAGGACACTGGGGAAGCTGGAGCTGGAGGCCTAGATATGAAAAGGAGAAAGCTGGGTAGTTCTTTAATTCCTGGCCCTCATTTATTCCAGGCCACCACACTAGAGCTCTAGGGAAACTGCCAAGGGATTCTGCTATGGAAAATCTGACCTCTGGGCCCTGTCTCTAGGCTTGAAAGTCCCAGGGCCTCGGTTTCCACATCTAAACGAGTGACAGACCCTCCCATCTATAAAGGATCATGAGCCCTGAAACTCAGAGGTCTCAGGACTGAGATCAGAACCCCACCAAGACCCTGCAACGGGTTGAGATGACTGACGGTCTTCCGGGCCAATGCTGAAAGAAGGCCAATCAAGGGGGCGGGGCAGACTTATCTGAATTCACCCCTTACTTAAATCCAAACCAATCAGCGTCGAGCTCCGCACGTGAGCTATAGGGTCACTGGCCGCCACTCTATGAGCATGCGCAACCTCTCGCCTAAGGCCTCCTCCCACCTCGCATGCTCATCTGCCCCGCAAAGGACAGGGGGAGAAAGAGAGGTTGGACACGAACCTTGGTTCCATCCTGAAAGTCAGGGAGTTCTCCCCGGCCCTCCTGTATTACACGCTTATGGATCCCGTCCTCTCGGAGTCTTGCGATGATATCCGCCATCCTCCTTCCCCGCTGCTCTCTTTCGGCAGCTTCCGGACTCCTTCGGTAACTTCCGGACGTGCTTCTCGGCAACTTCCGAACTAGCGCCATTATGGCTGAGGGCAGAAGCCAAAATGAGAACGTGGGAGCGGATGGTGATTGGCTCTCTCCACTGCGGCTTTGGGCGCGAGTCCGGCCCAGGGCGGAGGAGGCCTGAGAATGTTATGGGACTGGGACTAGAGCCTGTCGGGAGGCTGGGTCTTGGCGGGCCGGGAGGGCGCGGCAGGGAGGTCCCTGACGTTTGAGTCGTAGAGTCGTGGGGACTTGGGACTGCGGCCCTCCCACGAGACCTTGCGCTGCTTCGTTTAAAGTTGTAGCTCTGATATAACAGCCCTGGAGTTAGAAAATGGAAAGAAAAAAGCTCACCCCGCAGTTCCACATCCTAAAGCTACTATAATTTTTGTGTATTCTCCGCTGGCTTCTTTATTTTGCATATTTAGTATAATTGTGACTTTTACATTCCTGGATTTTTCGAAGGGAGGAAGGAGAGAGAGAGAAAAAAGAAAAGAGAAAAGGAGGAAGCCAGAGTGTAGCTCAGTGGTAGAGCTGTGGCCCAGCATGCGAAGAGGCCCTGGGTTCCATCCTCCGCCCCCAAAAGAAGGGGCAAAGCGCCTCAAGAGACCAAGAGAGCCCCTGGTGGGCTTGTTCCCCTCTGAATCCAGAGATGCCCGATAAATATTAGCGAATAGATGGGTGACAGAAATGAGGAACTGTCGGGACCCAAACAGCGTTTCTCTCTGCCTTTGGAAACTAGCTGTAAACAACAGCTGTGGGAGTTTTCTGCTCCTGTTTTCAAGAGTAAGGGGAGCATCTGGGGCCTCTGCACTATCTTCATCCCATCGCCATAACTGTGAAGGATTATCGTCTTTCCCCTGAGCCCCAGGTGCTAAGTGCTTCGAGAATCCATGCTGGTTTATTTTGCAACAAGAAATCCTCTGCAGAGGGACAGGACTTCTGAGGTGAAGGGGAAATTGTGCTTGTTTTCTGTGTAATTTTTTGGGGAGCAGTTTGTTTTTACCAACACAAATTTTACAAATTCTGAATTTTTATTTTATTTATTTATTTTTTGGTACTGGGAATCAAACTCACGACCTCACACTTACCAGGCGCTTGCGCCACTGAGCTATATCCCCGGCCCTAAATTTTACAAATTTTGTTTTTTGTTTTTGTTTTTTTTTTTTTTGGTTTTTCTCCGGTACTGGGAACCGAACTCACGACCTTGCGCTTGCCAGGCAGGCGCTTTGCCACTGAGCTAAATCCCCAGCCCGGTTTTTACAAATTTTGAACAATAACTAGTCTATCTCAAATTGCTCCAGAAAATAGAAAACAGAGGGAACGCCAACCAACATGAAACTGGTATGTTTGTTTTGAATTGATGTGTCTTTTTGAGACAGGGTCTCACTATGCAGTTCAGGCTGGCCTGGAACTCACTTTGTAGCCCAGGCTGGCCTGGAACTCGCAGTGATCCTCCTGCCTCAGCCTCTCATGTCCGCTACCATGCCTGGCTTGTTTTGTTTTGTTCTGTTTTGTTTTGGAGACAGGGTCTCAATATATAGTTCAGGCTGGCCTTGAACTCACACTGTAGTTGAGACTGGCCTTGAATGTAAGGCAGTCCTCTTGCCTCACCCTCCCGAATGCTGTGCCACCAGTCCTGAGAAGACTGGTTTAGTCTTGATTCCTTAGGCAGATAAGCATAAGGCAAAAGAAGTATATTTTTACTAATAAATATAAAATATGAAGCAAGGGGCTGAGGGTGTAGCTCATTGGTTGAAGAGAACTTACCTAGCTTGTGGGAGGCTCTGGGTTGGATCTCCGTTCGAAAAAAAAGAGAAAACTAACTGAATCCACTAGTTTCTATAAAAATGCAGTTTCCACATTGCTCCGGATTTTGTGTCTTCCACAATTGAAACTCTACTCATTAAAACTCTCCTCCCCCGCCACCACTCTTTCTATCTCTATGAATTAACTATTCAGGCACAATTACTTCCTGTATCTGCTATTTCTCTGAGCATACTGGTGTATGTGACAGATAATCCCAATATGTCAACTTCATTGGAGTAAGAAGTGCTTAGCAGATCAGTAAAGCACACCCCTGGTTATGTGTCTGGGGGGGTCACAGAGGTGTGACCTTGGGTACTGTATATAACCTTTGCCTGTTCCTCTCTGCCGCTGTTTCCCTGCTCTGCTTCTCTGCCAACATAAGCTAAGCAGCTTTACTCTACCATGCCCTTCTGCTATAGGGATGATATAGGACTTCCAAATAACATAAGGGAAATATTGTAACTCCCAACCTGCTACATGTCTGGTATGCTGAGCTTGTGTTCTCTAAAATCAAAGAATGAGTTCTAGGAACAATGGAGGTTAAGAACAGAAAACATTTATCAGAAGAATGAAAGCTATATTTATTGGGGGAAAGAAAGCTTCTGAGAGAGACAGACAGAAAGGGCCCTGAGTAGGTTGTCATAAACCCCTGTTCTCAAGGGGATTTTGTAGAGCAAAACCATGAGACAAGATGGGTACGAGGCGGGACAAAACTATAGTCAACCAATAAGATTACAAGTATAGTGGCTTAGGTAATTGATTAAGTGGAGATCAAGTGAGGAAGGAAGTCACGTAGCAAGGGTACAAGGACAGAATGGGACTTTTCCTGGAAGGGAGGTTTTGGTCCCCCACTCAAGGTGATTGATGCCTATTTGGAATATCAATCACTAAAAAAAGTAAAAATAAAAAAAATAAAAGAGTATCAATCACTGTTGTTCATCCCAGAGGAAGTATGTGGGTATAGACATTTCCTCTTTCCTGAGGCCTGGTCTTTAACAAATGTGCCTCCAGTCACAGTTGTCTTGCCTTGACTTCTTCCACTGCCGAAGTGTTTCTAAATAACTTAGCTGTCTATAATCCTTCTGATATAGGGCATATGATATACAACCACCAAATAATACGAATAATATAACTCCCAAACTGCTAGACATCCAAAAGGCCAAGTTTGTATTCTCTAAATTTGAGGAACTCTGGGAACAACAGAGGTTGAGAATAGGAAGAGGCCGGGCGTGGTGGCGCACACCTGTAATCCCAGCACTCAGGAGGCTGAGGCAGGAGGATCATTGAGAGTTCGAGACCAGCCTGGGCTACAAAGTGAGCTCAAGGCCAGCCTGAACTGCATAGAGAGACCCTGTCTCATTTAAAAAAAAAAAAAAAAAAAAAGGAAGAATTTATTGAAAGAAAGTTTCTGTCTAAGAGGGAGAGAAGGAGGCCTGGAAAGTGGGTTGCCCTCAGCCCCAGCTTCTCAAGGGTGTTTTATTGAGCAAAGCTGCAAGGTGAGGTGGGCTGAAGGTGGGACAAAACTACGGTCAGCCAATAAGATTACAACAATATAGTCACTGAGGTAATATTGATTAAATGGGGATCAAATGGGAAAGCAAGTCATATAGCAAGTGCACATGAAATGAATGAGGATTTCCTAGGGAGGAATGGGCTCCCCAACCACCCAAAGTGATTGACACCTATTTAGACTATCAATCACTGCTGTTCATCCTTAGGGAAAGTATATGAGTGTAGTTAAGTCCTCTTTGTCCTGAGGCTTGACCTTCAAGTTACGTACCTCCACCCATAGTTTTCTTCATTGACCTCTGGGGGGCCCAGCCCTGTTTGACTACCTATATTTCTAAATAACTTAGCTGTCTATAATACTTCCACCATGATGTTTGTACCCTGGAGCCAACCAACCATGAACTGAATCTCCCATACCTTAAACCAAGTTAAATCTCTTAAATTTGTGGATGTTAGGTATTGTGTCCCAGCAATGGGAAAGCTGACTAAAAAGTTTCTCAAGACATAAAAAATGTGAATAACTGAAGTGGTATATGTTGTTAATGAATCTAATAACAATGTGATTCCTCCTGAAATTCAGTGATAGCTGATCTGGTTTAGATCTAGAATGCCCCACACAAACGCTCATGTGTTCAGAGGCAGGGACTTTTTCTAAGGTGATTGGCTCGTGGGGTTCTATAATCCACTGATGAGTTCAGAGCTAAATGCACTATTAGGAGGTGAAGCTCAGAAGAAGCAGGTCATCAGAGAGGGGGATGACTTAGAAAGGTGTCTCTCCTTCCATAGCTCCTCCCTCCACTGTCCGCTTCCTGGCACCTTTTCCTCTGCCAGGCTCCTCTGCCGTCCTGTTTCTGCCTTGTAGCCTGCTGACCACAGACTGAAACCGTGAACCAAAATAAACCTTTCCTCCTTTAAATTGTGAGTGTCAGGTGTTATGTCCAGTGCAGGAAAGTAGCTAATACAACATCCCAATAAAAACTGGCAGGACTCTTAAGAACTTGGGGAACATTTCTGTAAAGTGTCTATGGAAGAATTAGGGTACATAAAGTGCTAAGTCAAGTTTGAAAAGGGGGAGATTCGCCCACCCACATTAAGCCACACTGCAGCCATAGTAATAAAAAGCATGTGATACTGGCTTAGAAATAGTGAAACAGAGCAAGGGAATCAGAGAAAGCTTACAACAGGTGTAACTATAAACAGTTGTATAGTTGACATATGATAGGAAGAAAGAGCTGATTAGGTAGCTCTGGGACAGCCAGCTCACGATACATTGATAGAAATTGGAATCCCTTGTTGTGCCATATTCAAAGGTAGAATCCATAGGATTAAGGATTTTAATATTGATTATAGTAATTCCCGACATTTATCAGTTGCTTATTGTAAGGAACAGTGCTAAGCAGAGACCAGCTGAGACCACCAGGTTTATGTAAAGGCAACATGGTGTGGAATTTATTGTGCCTGGGTGCAGGCGGACAGAGGGCAAAAAGGCCATCTGTACGAGAGCAAAGAGAAGTGGGCTTTTTTAAATATATATAGGGCTTGAAAGAAGGCAAGGGACATTAGATGGGAAGATAAACATCAGTGGTCAAATTTCTCAGGATGTTTTATTTCTCAGTGGGCAAAGTTCTTGGGGTGTCCAGTGTGAATGCTTGGAGTCAGGAGTGTGTGACTACTAAATTAGTCCACAGTTTGGTTTGTTGTAGTTCTTCGGGTGTGCATACTGGGGAGACTCAACCTGAGTAGCATGTGTGGATATAAAGGGACAGAAAGAGGGCAGGCCTGCTGCCGCTTTTCCCCTACTTCACTGCTTTGCTTCTTTGTCTGGCATGAACTGTTTTTCCTCTGAAATGGCCCCTGCCATGCTACCCTGCCTTAGAGCCCGAGAATTTGGGACTTCAGGTATTCTGTCTCAGCAATGAGAAAAGTAACTGAGACAGCAGCACAAGTCTGTAATCTAGCTACTCAGGAGGCTAAGGCAGGAGGATCACAGGTCTGAAGCCAGCCTGGACAATTTAGTGAGACCTTGTCTCAAACTATAAAATTAAAAATCCTGGAAATGCTAAGAATATAGTTCAATCCAAGGCCTTGGGCTCAAACTCCAGTACCAAAAAAAAAAAAAACAAAAGTATTTAGAACAGCAAGAGATTCATAATTAGACATATACATATACACAAATGAGTAGGAAAAAGCCCAGACAGGGTTGGGAGGAGCAAGACAAACAAAAACAAGCAATTTACAGAAGTAATAACCCTAGTGCTGCTCAGAGTTTCTAGTCCTCAGAGACTCAGTTTTTCGTCTTTTTTTCTTTTAAGGAGAGGAAGAGAGAAAGAAGGGACAGAGGAAAAAAGGGAAGGAAAGAGGGAGGGAGGAAGAAAGGACCAGTAAGGCCCCACTTTCCATTCAGTAGACTGGCCAGCCTTGGGAAGCTGAATGTCTCAGGTGCTGAGAGAAGCAGTGCCCTCAAGCGAGGGGTCAGTCACCCGGCCACTCACAGGAGCATCCTCACGCTTCGCGAAGTCATGGGTGTGTATGGAAAGGGACCTGTAACCAGGGAAAGGGGTCTGTAAACAGGGAAGGGCCTCATCAGGCTTTCTGGCTACTCCTGATAAAAAGAGTTAAAGCTTCCCTGGAGAAAGCAATTAACAAGACCAGAGAAGAGGTGGACAGGCAGAGGACAGGGGAAGCCAGGTGCTCCAAACCAAGGGAGCCGCCCCCAACCCTCCTCCAATAAAATGCAAAGGAAAAAAAATGCAAAGGAGACAAGGGGTGGCCACTTAAAAGAAAGCTTTTATTTGGTATATAAATCTCTCTCTCTCTCTCTCTCTCTCTCTCTCTCTCTCTCTCTCTCTCTCTCTCTCTCTCTCCCCCGCCCCCATTCTAAGGCCACTATAATAGTGCACTAGTTCCCTTACTTAATTGTTAACTTGATCTTGTTTGTAAGTCCCCTGCTAACCAGCCAATAAATACTAAAGATAAGATTCTGACAGGACAAAAAAATCCAAATCCAAATGAAGCTCACTTAAAAATGTGCACATAAACAGTTGTGCAGCGGTTAGGGTCCAAGGGCCAAGATAGCTAATCAGATTGTGACCAGCCCCAGGGGTAAGGGTCTTTCTGCCATCCAATAAAAGCACCCGAGAACAAAGGGCCCTAGGGTTTTCAGGATCTGGACCCTCTACTTTCTCTCACAGGGCAGCTTTTTGTGCCCTCCATTCTGCTCTTTCCGCAAATAAAGTGTCTGTTTTCCCTTTTAAACTTAGTCTCTTTATCCCAGCACTTGAGAGGCTGAGGCAGGGGGATCACTTCGAGTTCTAGGCCAGCCTGGACTACAAAATGAGTTCAAGGCCAGCCTGTACTGCATAATGAAACCCTGTCTCAAAAATACAAAGAAAAGAGGGGAGATGTAGCTCAGCAGCACAGCACCTGCCTGGCAAGTGCAAGATCCTGAATTTGATTCCCACTACCCCCAAAAAAGACATACATAAATAAACTTAGTCCCTTCAATCCTCTACTGGGACTGGGTTTATGAATCCTGGTGAGCTGCTCTGACAGCAGAGTGGAGCTGCAGTGTACTATACACACATACACACTGGGACAGATGCCCTGTGGGCGGGAAATCCTATCCTAAGAAGGTTTTCCCACCATTCATAGGGGTAAGAAAGAAGATGTGCACGGCAGCAATGTGTGTGATGGGGCCAACCTGATGTGATCACTGTGAGCATGAGGTGGACATAAAAGTTCTGTCACTTATATGATGCAGGGGGACCTCAAATTTGAGCCCAGCCTGGAAAATTTAGCAACTTAGTGAGACTCTGTCTCAAAAAATTTAAAAGGTACTGGTAATGTAGCTCAAAGTGAAGATCCTAGGTTCAATTCCCAGTACTGAAACAACCCACACAACCCCCCCAAAAAAAGTGCTGGAAGCTCATAGTGATGTAACATGCACATAGCTAGTAGAAAAAAAAACAAATGAGATACACATGCAAAAACATTAGTGCTGAGTGGAAAAATGTAAAAATGTAAACAGCAGAATGAGTTTGCTATATTACATGGTGTTTGTAAATTGCAAACACATCCACATAGGGGACAGTGCCATGTGAGGTGCAGGCCAGACAGGACTCGGGAACGGGGCGACTGAGCACACTGCTGTGGGGTCTGATGGGCCAGGGAGAGGAGGACTGACAGAACGTGAAGGAAGGAGAGTGGATTAACGAAACTCATAACTCAAGAGGGGCCTCGATCGCAGTGATGAGGTGTCACAAACTGAAGTAGAGTTGTCACAGCCGCTTCATAGAACGAGACTGATCGCAAAGTAAGAGAGCCGTGAGGTGGAGGAGGACAGGTATTCCAGTAGCTGGGAGGATGTGGGTTCAAATGTCAGTTTTGCCATTTCCAAGCCCTTGGGACTCTAGCACACCACCCGTTCATGCCAGCCACTCATATTTATTTATTTATTAAGCTAAATACAGCTGGGAGCTAGTGTGGCTGAGTGAAGTGGAAAAGGGCCCGGGAGAGGGGAGCTCCTGAGGGTGGGAGAGGTAGACAGGCACCTGACATTCAGAACGTTGTGAGCCCTGGCCAAGGACTCAGAATTTATTCTAACTACCATAAAAGACCCTTAGAAATTTTAAGCAAAGTTTTTTTAACAGTGTTAGTTTTTTTTATCTTATTTATTTTTAGTAATGGGGGTTGAACCTGTATAGCCTCCAAACTACACAGAGTTGTTTTTGTTTTTGTTTGAGACAGGGTCTTGCCATGTCATTCAGACCAGCCTTGAACTCACTATGTAACCCACGCTGGCCCCGAACTCGCAGCAATCCTCCTGCTTCAGTCTCCCAAGTGCTGGGACTTACTATGTAGGGGAAATGCGAGATGTCAACTATGCAGAGTTTGTGTCCCTGGAGTCGAAGAATGAATTCTAAGGCACAAAGGAGGTTAAGAGTAGGAAAATTTACTGGAGAAAATGAATGGGGAATTGGGATGGGGAACAGGGAATAGGAACAACTCCTGAGAGACATGAGGGGTCCCAAACAGGTTATCCAATGAACTCACCTCTCAAAGGAAGTTTTATAGAGCGAAATCATGAGGTAGGTACAGTGTCAGTCAAAATTACGATCAACCAATAAGACTGCAAGTAGAGTCACTTAGGTAATATTGATCTAATGGAAGCAAAGATACATGAGTGACATCATTAACCTTGGTCGATAATCTGTAGTCTTAGTCTTGTCTTTAGTTTTAGCAGTCTTAGTCTTAGTCTTAGTGGTTTTAGTCTTAGTCGGTGGGAGAGGATAGCCCACCCCTAGCGAGATAATGGGAAATATTATTGGTGATACCAATAACGCTAAACCTCCTTCATCCCTTAGGAAAGTGTGTAAAACTAGCCACTGTGACTTTAATCTTCAGATGTGCCTCCAACCACAGACCTGAGGCATTTTTATCTCCTGCACTGACTCCTTAGAGGGCCCAGTCCTGTCAGACTGTCTACTATATTTCTACCTAATTTAGCTGTCTATAATAGGATTATAAGCGTGTACTACCACGCCCAGCCACAAAGTTTTATTTAAGAGTAACATAGAAAAACATGTATTTTACTTTCTTTTTTTTTTTGAGATAGAGTCTCGCTATGCAGTTCAGGCTGGTCTTGAGCTCACTTTGTAGTCCAGGCTGATCTCGAACTCACAACGATCCTCCTGCCTCAGACTCCCGAGTGCTGGGATTACAGGTGTGTGCCACCACACCCAGCAAAAAACATGCATTTTAAAAGGTCACTTTTATTGCTGCATGGAGACTGGACTGGAGGATAGTGAAATCCACATAAACTCTGATCCTCAGTTTCCACATCTGTTACATGGCAAAAAACACCCCACCCACCCAGGGCCCTTGGTGAGGTGGGGGGACCGTCTGTTCCCAGCAGTTTCCTTTGGCGCTGAAGGATCCGGCTGGGATCAAAAGGCTGCTTTTCGGGCCCGGGCTACTGGAGCTCCGCTGCCCTGTGAGCACGCTTGGGGCCTAGGGCTCACGCCTGTACTTCGCACCGGCGGTCCCTTGCCGAGACGGCCGCTGGGCGGCGCCGCGGGCCTGGCCGGCTCCACGCAAGAAGCAGCCCCACCGCCAGTTGGCTCGGCGCTCGGCAGCTCTGGTCTGGAGAGGCCTGGAGGGGGCGGGACCGTTGCGCAGGGCAGGGCCTCGGCCGGGGCGCCGGCCAGTCGGGCTCTAGAGGCGCGGGTGCGGAGGCGGGGCCCGCGCTCGG